ACCCATAACATATCTACATGATTTACTCATAATTCTTTTAAAATTTTGACAAAAAATTAGTACAATTATTTTTAAGTAATTGTATAATATAGCCACGAATTTAGCCTAATTTACATATGTCAACTTTTATTCGTAAAAAATTAGGAAAATTTTAATTTTATACCATGTGTTATATCAAAATATGCGTTTGATATCTTGTGTTTTTAATAATTTTATGATGTTAGCTTGTCGTTTTAGAAAATAGTTCTTTTTGGTAGGGTTGTTCAAAAAAACCGTAAAACTGACACCAACCGCTAACCAACCGAAGAAAACTGATTGAAAGCGAAACCGATCATAGTCGGTCAGTTAACCGACTGACCACCACATATGGGCGGTCGGTTGTTGGTTCCGGTGGTTGAGGTCGTCGATCAAAACTGAATCGACCGCCCACTATTACACACTTTAAAAAATAAAGATTTGTAGAGGTGGAGGTTTGAACCTTCAACTTAAAGGTTATAAGTGCATCAACTAACTATTGAACCACATTGTCCTCATTGGTATTATTGTGGTTTCAATAATATTTATTAATATTAACTGACCCTAAACCAAAGTTTTGTACAAGTGGTGGTTCAAACCTTCAACCTAGAGCGTAGAAGAGGATCAACTAACCACTAAACCACATTGTCCTCGTTGATATAATTGTGATCTCAATAATATTTATTAATATTTTCCGCGTTCTATACTTTGACAACTAACAACTGGAGTTGCAAGAGTTCCACATGGACAAGAAATGAAAAAATCCTACCTCAACTACTCTATATAAAGGAAGTGAGTCCTTCCTTGGCCTCACACTTAATTTTGACTATATTAATAGTTGAAATTGGGCTTCAACAAAACTTTTTTTCTGTTAATTTTTTACTATATTAATTGTTGAAATTGATGAAAAAAAATAGTTTAATTTTTTTTTAATTAACTTTAGTTTTGATGGGAACCGATCACAAGAAACCGACCATGATTTGGTCGGTTAACCGACTGAAGGCTCTCATCTTCCGTTCGGTTTTGATTTCAATTTTTTGAAAACCGACGTGGTCGAAAGTCACCGAACCGACCAAAATCATCAGTTTTAAACCGACGAACAGTCCTACTTTTTGGTACTTTAAAACTGTTTTTTAAGATGTAAAATGTCTTTTACACCCTTTATTTAATTTATCTAAATTTTTTTAAAAACATTATATCAAACATATATTTAAATTTAAAAAAACTATAAAATCTAACATACATAAAAGGGGCAAAAATGTTACTTCTTCTGTTATCAAATGTCAAGTTCTCATTTTTCTCTTTTATTTTTGGTTTTTACATTTTTTTTTATTTCTAATCCTTCTTTTGTTTAATTTTACTTTTTTCTTATTTCTATTCTTATTTTACTTTTTTCTTTAGAGTTCTTTTAATTTTTTGCCAAGTGCTCTTTTGTAATGTAATCTTCTTACAACATACTTACATGATTTTCTTTTCCCACTTTACTCTATTTAAAATAATTCATTCTATATGTACCTGACAAACAATTTACGATGTGACATTCTTTTCCTTTTAAATGTATTGTACAAAACTTGTTTTTTTTTTTTACTAAACTCAATTATTAGGTGAATGATAAATAAATACAACTAAATATTATAAAAAACTTTATATTTTCATATAAAAATTATGAGAATGTACGCGTGGGACACGTGCTTATAACTAGTAAAAAGTAAGGGGCTTGTTTGGTTCAAAAATTCAAACTGTGGAGATTTAAACATTTTTAGTTAAAACTCTAAAATTTAAACAATGATGCTTTAAACTATGATCTGAACTGTTGTTTGGATATGCAAATAACTTTATAATTTGAATTGGGAATAAAATCCGAACTATGTTTGGATAAAGTGTTAAAAACTATCATTAGAGTTTTGTAACAAATCTTATAAAATATTATTCTACATGACATTAAAAAATATGTAATATGGGTGAGGATTTGTTCATCTTTTCATTATGAACACATTAAAAAAAATAATCTCAATTGGATTTAAAATGAAAAAGTTATGACATTTGTAAGATTGAAATTAAGGAGAGTGAAAAAGTATAATCTAAAACGGTTAGACTGCCGACAATAATTCAGATTGTTAGAATTTAAGGGAAGGTGAATTCTAAAATAGACAATTTGAGTTGTCCTTAAACTATTGTTAATGGTTTGAATTGTTTTTGAATTTTTCTCTCCCAAACGCCAATTTGAATCCTAAGCTAAAATTTAAATCCTAAACAACAGTTTGAGTGGTTGAAACAAACCGTACAAAAACTCTAAAATCTCTCCTCTCTCTCCCCCTTCTCTCGACAATCTCTCTCTCTTCTCTTCCTTTCTTGAAATCTCTCTCTCTCTCTCTCTCTCTTCTCGCTCTCTGACGACCCAACCCCATTGCAACCCAACCCCATTGCGATGCAACCCCAGCAACCCACGCCCAATTGCGACCAAGCCCGCCACGACCAGCCCCACCGCAACAGATTACATGGATTAAAATTTTCCCAATTCTAGAAGTATTGAATGGATTGCATATATTGATGCTTTAATCGCAAAGTTTTCCCCTCCCTGGATTCATCCCTAGGGTACAATATGTAGCAGATCTAATCGATACAAGACATTGATGTTACCGTCATTTGTTGCTTTATATAATCTTAGAACAACACATAGTATTCTAACAAGTTAAGTTCTTTAGCAAAGTTTGTTGATTTTTCTAATACATTGGCAATAACTTACAGAGTGTGGTCGATATTGTTTAAGATTTGGATTAATTTCAACCATTGTAACATTTTGCTCCCCAAATTTTAAAAAGTAGCATACGTTTTCCTGAATTTTATTCCGTTAACAAGTTTTATCCTTCTGTTACAATGAGTGACGGAAATCACTACGTGTCAGGTACATGAGCCATTTGACGGGAGTATTATCATAAATTAACCTACAATTGTTGGATCCTTAATCCAACGTTGGGTTTATTTGTGAATAATTATGTGTTGTGGGCTCCCATATAAGGTTAAACTCAATTAAAAGTGATATACTAATGTTTGGGTATTCTGGGCTTTAATGTATCTAATAGGGTGTGAGCCTTTAATGTGTAGAGACTTAAGGGTAATTTCTATTTTTATGATGGGCTAAAATAGAAATACCAAAAGATAACAGGAAAGTTATCTATATATAGCGGTTGTGGTCCCCAGATCATATGTTACATTCTATTCCTTCTGACATCCCATCATCAGAGAGAGTACAGAGAGAAAGTTAAAGGGTTTTCTAAGAAAACGTGTTGATCTGGAAGACAAACTGCACGACTCTAGAGAAAAATCAGTCAATATAGATTCAGGTATGCTTCCGCTTACAAATTTATTAATTCTTGATGATTTAACATGAATGTTCTTGGCTTTTGGGTGATGGTTTTACCAAATCATTAATTTCTAACAAGTGGTATTAGAGCCTCTTCAAGTTGAATCATTGAGAATCAATTTTATTTTTGATCTATGGTGATATGCTTGGTGTTCTTGAATTTAACAATTCCGAGTTTGGTGTTGTTGGATTTGAGAACAATTTTGGACAATTTCTTATGGTTGTCTTCCTTAATTTCGGATATAATTTTATGGAAAATTTTGGTATATTCTCTTTTTAGTTTCATTTTTTTTTGGAATCTGGGTTTATTGAACCCAAATCAATGCTTTGGCCGGTGATAGCCTCTGCCGCCGCCGGCTCTATGGGTAAGGCCGCGCTGGCAAGGGACAGCCGCGGCCTGTGGCCGCAGCAAGACGGAGAAAGCGGCAGCTATAGCTGCCGTATAAGGAATTTTAAAAAAATGAATCTTCATGCCATTTGGCCAGTGGCAGCCTCTAGCCACCGCTGGCATCTAGGAATACCGATCATGGCCATTGGGCCGCTCCAGAGAGGTGCAGCCGCAGTATCTACAGAGGCGACCGTTCGGCCACTTCTTTCACCCAGGGGTCTTTCGACCCTTAGGGTTTGCAGCACTATGGGTTGCGACCTAGAGTTCTTCTGGTATAGTACGGGCCCAATTGGGCTCGTGAACTGAGAGTGAGGCTGTGGGCTTCGGCCCGTAGCAAATAAAAATAGAAAAAAAGGGAGGAAAGGGTTACCACAGGTAACCCTGCAGTATAGAGAGTTGGACTAATTTAGGATCTGGGTTAGGTTTACCGGACCCAGTCGAGGCCGACCCGGTCAACCTTTTGACCATTGACTTTGATTGGTCAAATCTTAACCGTTGACTTTTACTAACGGTTGACTTTGACCAAAATTTTTTATTTATATTTTAAATTTTTTGTCATTTTGGTGCAATTTTAAATTCAGATATTTGGATGGTTATATATATTTTGAGATGAATTAATTGAAGCAACATGTCGCCAAAGTGACCTCTCTTATAGAAATTAATTTATTTTGGAATATAAACGGTTGTGTATATGTAACTTATGTGATTATTGATCGGCCAAAAGGAATGTCAATATTTAACAGAATTGCATGTGCACCTGTGGTAATAAATGTGTGATGATTATTCAGTTTTACATGTGAACAATAAATCATCCTAAAAGAAGATTTATTGTTTGGCGTGTTCTTATTATCAGTGTTTGATTACTACCCCAAGATATCACTAACAAGTTAATATTTTGTCCAAAGACGAAATGTTAATGGAGTGCCCGGTATCTTGAGATGGGGTTTACCTTTATTTGAATTTATTTTTGTTTTGGGACTTATGTGATCTTGTTTTATTTGTTTGTTTGTTGTTCTCTGGTTCGCTATGACTCCTACTAATATTACTTCCAACATCAACTCTATTCCTATGCTAAATGGCTCTAACTTTAAGTCATGGCAAGAGAACCTCTTGATAGTTCTCGGAGTCATGGACCTTGACCTTGCGTTAAAGGTTGATTCTCCTCCACCTCTTACGGATAAGAGTACCTCTGATGAAAAGAGGGATATGGAAAGGTGAGAGAAATTAAATCGCATGTGTATGATGATCATTAAGAAGGCCATTCCGGAAGCATTTAGGGGCACAATGTCTGATAAGATTACTACGGCTAAGGAGTTCGTTGCGGACATTGAAAAGAGGTTTGTCAAGAATGAAAAAGCTGAAATAGGTACGCTATTGACAAGTCAAATTTCAATGAGGTATAGGGGAAAAGGCAATATCAAGGAGTACATCCTAGAGATGTCTCTTCTTGCTTCAAAGTTGAAAGCACTTAAGCTTGAACTCTCTGAGGACTTGTTGATGCATCTGGTTTTGATATCTCTTCTGGCACAGTTTAACCAGTTTAAGGTGAACTACAACTGTCAAGAAAAGACTTGGTCTCTGAATGAGCTCATATCACACTGTGTTCAGGAAGAGGAAAGGATGGAGCAAGATAAGGTAGAAAGTGCTCACCTGGCCTCAACCTCTAAGGACAAGGACAAGGGAAAGAAAAGGAAAAAGGAAGCTGCACATACAACACCTCAAAAGAAACAATGAAAGAAACCGGTTCAACCGGAAGGTACGGGTTGCTACTTCTGTGGAGTTGAAGGGCATAAGAAGAAGCATTACACCAACTATCACGCATGGCATGCTAAGAAAGGTATGCTTCTTAATTTGGTTTGTTCCGAGGTTAATTTAACTTCGGTATCTAAACATACGTGGTGGATAGATTCTGGTGCAACAACTTACACCAGTGTGTCTATGTAGGGTTGCCCGAGTTGCTGAAAGCCAAGTAATGGTGAAAGATACATCTATGTGGACGATGGCAAGACAGTTCAAGTTGAAGCAATAGGAAAATTTAGATTATTATTAAAGACTGGATTTTATTTGGATCTTGATGAGACATTTATTGTACCGTCTTTTAGACATAATTTGATTTCTATTTCTGCTTTGGACAAATCTGGTTATTCTTGTTCGTTTGGGAATGGAAAATTTAATTTGTTTCATGATTCAAAATTGGTTGGTTCCGGTTCTTTGTCAGGTTATGATAATCTTTATTTAATTGATACAATTGCTTCATTTAATGAATCCTTACAATTAAGTACAAGAGGTATAAAGAGAAAATTAACCAGTGAGAATTCAGTTGCGTTATGGCACAAGAGATTAGGTCATATCTCCAAATGGAGAATAGAGAGACTTGTGTCAGAATAAATTCTATACCCCTTAGATTTTGAAGATTTTGATGTTTGTGTTACTATATAAAGGGGAAACAAACTAATAAAAGGATATTTGAAGTCAACATGACTTTGGACGTCTTAGAACTTATACATATAGACATTGGTGGGCCATTCCCTATGGTTAGTTGGAATGGTCAATAATATTTTATAACGTTCATAGACGATTTTTTTAGATATGGCTACATATATCTCATTCATGAAAAGTCACAGTCGCTGGATGTGTTCAAAAATTATAAGGCTGAAGTTGAGAACCAACTTAGCAAAAGAATCAAAAGCGTATCTGACTGTGGTGGTGAGTACTATGGTAGATATGACGGATCAAGTGAACGATGTCCAGGACCATTTGCTAACTTCCTAGAGGAATGCGGTATCGTCCCACAGTACACTCTGCCGGGTTCACCCATTATGGATGGTGTTGCTGAATGATGAAATAGGACACTTAAGGACATGGTGAGGAGTAATGATTTTTCATTCTACCTTACCAGAACACTCTAGGAAGAAGCACTTAAGATTCATATATCCTTAACAGGGTTCCAACTAAAGCGACTACCAAAACCCCATACAAACTTTGGATGGGCAAGAAGCCTAGTTTAAAGCACTTGCATCTTTGGGGGCCTCAGCTTTATAGGCCTAATGAAAAGAAATTGGACTCAAGGACGGTGAGTTGCTATTTTATTGGATACTCTGAAAGATCCAGGAGGTACAAGTTTTATGATCCCACGAGTAAGTCGATTTTCGAGTCGGGAAATGTCCGGTTCTTTGAGGATATCGAGTTTGCCGGGGGAGATATAGTTTGGGACTTTGTCTTCAAAGAGGAATATGTTGATATTCCCACAAGTGCTATTGGCATTGATCAGGATCCATCCCTGACCTTGTTTAAGACACAACATATCAAGACAATGTCAGAGAACCTCCCATACAAGAAATTGTTCCAGAAGAACAAACTCTACCACCTCAAGAACCTATGCCATTAAAGAGGTCCACTAGAGAAAGGAGAAACGTGGTGCCAGATGACTACATTGTATTTCTCTAAGAACATGAGGTAGACATTGGAGTGTTGGAAGATGATCCGATCAACTTCCTTCAAGCCAAGGAAAGTTCTAACTCTCAGAAGTAGATTGATGCCATGAATGAGGAGATTAAGTCCATGAAGGACAATGACGTGTGGGATCTTATCCCACTGCTAGAAGGTGTGAAACCTATTGGTTACAAATGGATATTTAAGACTAAGAGGGATTCGAAAGGTGATGTGGAGAGGTATAAGGCGCGTCTTGTCGTAAAGGGCTTTACACAGAAAGAAGGCATCGACTATAAAGAGACTTTCTCTAAGGTTTCTTTGAAAGACTCTTTCAAGATTATAATGGCATTCGTGGCACTTTTCAATCTTGAGTTACATCAGATGGATGTAAAGACGACGTTTCTTAATGGAAACATTGATGAGACAGTTTACATGGTGCAACCAAAAAATTTTGTGTTGGGAGACGCAAAGAATATGGTTTGCAAACTTAAGAAATCCACCTATGGGCTCGAACAAGCATCTCGACAATGGTACTTCAAGTTTCATCAAGTGATAATCTCGTTCGGTTTTGAGATGAATTTGGATGATGATTGCATATACCATAAGTTCTGTGGGAGCAAGTATATTTTTCTGGTTTTATATGTGAATGACATTTTTCTTGCCAGCAACGATATAGGCTTATTGCATGAAACTAAGAGATTTCTAGCTAAGAATTTTGAGATGAAAGATCTGGATGACGCCTCTTTTGTATTAGGCATATAGATACACCGGGATCACTCTCAGTGTATTCTTCGATTATCACAAAAGAGCTATATCGAAAAGGTTCTCAAGAGATATGGCATGCAGGATTGCAAACCAGGTGATACCCCTGTGGCTAAGGGAGAAAAGTTTAGTCTCAATCAGTGCCCTAAGAATGATTTTGAGGAAAAGGAAATGCAAAAGATTCCTTATGCCTCAACAGTACGAAGCCTAATGTATGCTCAGGTTTGTATGCGTCAGGATATTGCGTACGTTACTGGGATGTTGGGCAAGTATTTAAGTAATCCAAGAGTATACCATTAGAAAGCAGCCAAACGGGTCTTGTTGTACTTACATAGAACAAAAGACTACATGCTCACGTATCGGAGGTCGGATCAGCTTGAGACCGTTAGGTATACTGACTCTGATTTTGCTGGATGCCTAGATAGTATGAAATCCACATCGGGTTATATCTACCTGCTAGCTGGAGCTGTTGTCTCCCGAAAGAGTGCTAAACAGTCTCTTATAGCCTATTCTACCATGCCGAAAAAGTTCATAGCATGTTATGAGGCGTCCAATCACAGAATATGGCTGGGGAATTTTTTCACGGGGCTGCGCATAGTGGACAGCATTGAAAGGCCACTCAAGCTAATTTGTGACAATAAGTTAATAGTGATGTATTCCAACAACAACAGGAGCTTGACAAAGTCAAAGCATAGACAACAAGTTCCTAGTTGTCAAGGAAAAAGTTCAGAGTGGACAATTGTCTATAGAGCACATCGGTACAAACTCCATGGTTACGGTTCCGCTTTCTAAGGGATTGCCACCCAAAGTGTTTCATGAGCACACTGCTCGTATGGGTGTCATGTCATTAGAGGATATTTAGTTTTAGTGGGAGTTTGTAATTTTAGATGCTTTTATGATATAGACATATTTTCAGTTATTTCAGTTTATAGATATTTTGAGGTTATTTTCTGCATAAATAAAGTTTTGGTTTATTCACACTCTGATTTTGGTATGGTTTGATCTCACTGAGGTTTAAGGTAGACTAGTTAGAAATATGCATGTTAAGATCACATTACATAAAATTTCCATGCTACACATCCACATCATGATCCATGTCATTCAGTTGTATTGGCATACATGACCATTGATGGGTCGAGTTACGACAGTTGTAACGAAGGCCACTTTGATCCTATGTTGGTATAATTGATGGACCGGATTGATTACAGATACATTTTGGTAATGACAGTAAAGTTGAGCTCATACGATTATTTTTGCTAAGCATAATTATAAGGTGACAGATATAGCCCAAGTGGGAGATTATTGGATCCTTAATCCAACATTGGGCTTTTATGTGAATAATTATGTGTTGCGGGCTGTCATATAAGGTTAAGCCCAATTAAAAGTGATATACTAATGTTTGGGTATCTTGGCCTTTAATGTATCTAATAGAGTGTGGGCCTTTAATGTGTAGAAACTTAAGGGTAATTTCTATTTTTATGATGAGCTAAAATAGAAATACCAAAAGATAACAAGAAAGTTATCTATGTATAGTAGTTATGGTCCCCAGATTGCATGTTACATTCTATTCCTTCTGACATCCCATCATCAGAAAGAGTACATAGAGAAAGTTAAAGGGTTCTCTAAGAAACGTGTTGATCTGGAAGACAAACTGCACGACTCTAGAGAGAAATCAGTCAATATGGATTCAAGTACGCTTTTGCTTACAGATTTATTAATTCGTGATGATCTAACATGAATGTTCTTGGCTTTTGGGTGATGATTTTCACCAAATCATTGATTTCTAACAGCAACAACCCTAGGTTATTAAAAGAGCAATTAAAAAACTCAAATGTGTTAAAAAAACCCCATTTTAACACGGCTATTCGAATTCCCCAACCAGAGATTAATCTCCCACATATCAAAACCAAGATTAGAACCTCATATTTCCAAAGCTTAGGCTTTGACAGAGAAACGAAAGGAAATCTATGGC